TTATAGATATACTAGAGGCCTGGTGCACAAAATTCATGCACGGGGAGGGGTCCCCTTAGCCCAGCCTGCACCCTCTCCAATCTGGGATCCCCGGGATTGGGCCTAAACCAGGAGTCGTACATGCCTCTCACAATCTGGGACTGCTGGCTCCTAACTGCTCACCTGTCTGCTTGCCTGATCACCCCCCCGCCGGCCTGGTCACCCCCAACTGCCCCCCTGCTGGCCTGATCGCCCCACGCAGTCTACTGTTCAGTCTTTTGGTCGCCCCATGCAGCCTACTGGTAGTTACTGTTACTGTGACGGCATCCTGGACAATTTGCATATTCCTCTATTATTAGTATAGATATAAATGGAATATTTATGGATGAAATTATGGTGCTTGTGACTTTCTTCTAAGTAAACCAGCTGGGTGTGAGGTCATGAATGAAACAAGACTAGCTACAAGTTAATAATTTTTAAAATTGGATGATGGGTATATGGCGTTCATTATACTATTCTATCTATATTTCTATATAATTTTCCATAATAAAAAATATAGGAAATAAAACTAAAACTTGAGTTTGGATAACTGGGAGACTGGTTCAAACATGCTCTATTCTTACTGAACCATAAAGGATACCAAGGATGTTTAGGCAGGCTTTTAGGCTCTATGTCAGGGGTGGGCAACCCCTGGCACACCAGTAACTTTTGCTGGCACACGAAACCCTCTCTTATAATCTTCCATTTACAATTTTTTTCTTAATATCGACTTTTTTATTTTTCAGATAAATTCAGTGTAGGTGCATCTTAGATAAATAAATAATTTTACATAACAAGTTATCTTAAAGACCATAGACATGGATTGACAAGAGAGGGGAAGAGCAATTTCTATGCCTCTGCCTTAACTCTCCCTGCCTTCCTAGATCCGACCAGTGTTTTGGTTTCATCCACATACACTTGTGAATCTTTATTCTCAATGATGAATTTTGTTAAGTCTCGTAAAAGGAGTAGCCTGATGGATGCAAGTAGTAGCTCGTGCATATCTCTGAAGGTCACGAAATATAAATCTGATGTAAAAATCTCTGTCATCAGTGATGCAGCAGCAAAAGTCCCACTGATATCAAACGGAGAGTCATAAAGTTTTCTGTCAGACTATTAGTGTACATGTATACATTAAAAAATAAATGTATTTTTTATCATCATACACTGTGTTTTTGTCGCTCAAATGAATTTTATTATTTCTTCAAGGTTCTTCACATGCGTACACCTTATGAGATATCAAGTAGGAGTAACATGTTCTCAAAAAATTAGGGTTGGCACGCAGAAGAATTTTGAGTCAGAGATTTTGCTGGTTTTGGCACACACTCACAAAAAGGTTGCCCACCCCTGCTCTATGTTCTCACTAGATCTATACCTCTGTCAACTTCCTGTGCTATAGAAAATCTTAATGAGAATGACAAAAGAAAACAAGAAATGGAAGCAAACACAAACCATCCCAGGAGTTTTTCCTCTGATTTTCCTACAGAGGTTTAATTTCAAAATAAGAAAAAAGAACAGACATGCAATCAACCTCCCAAAGAAATTAGGGTGACAGGCAACAAAGAATAATGCTCTGCACTTTAACTTTTTAAAGATCTTTAATATACAGAATATATCACTATATCATTTGATCTTAACAATAACCTTGTCAAATGGACAGGGATAACGTCATTTCCCAGAGGAAAACACAAAGAAGTCACAAAACTAATATTTAGTAGCAAAAAACAAGTCTTCTCACCCCATTCTAGTGCTTTTTCCACTGAACAGTGCCCTTCCTATTCAATTTAATTATTCAAAATGGAGAAAAGGCTGCTCAGATCTCTTTTATTATCATTAAAGTCACAAATACACAAATACCTGGTAATGTGTGGGTTGGTATATATAGTTACTGACAATTTGTTATCCATGCTGTACAGCTTCCAAAAATTTACTTAGCAATTTGGACAGCTCAAAATGGTTTGAGAAACTCTTTTCTATCAAAAGCCACTGATACTCAAGGGAAAAAGAAAGACATCACGTTTAAAATTTGTAAATATTTAGTGTGTTTGTGTACACATGTGCATGGTTTAGAAAGTAGGGTAGAGAAATAAACATACCAGCAAAAGATCTTCTTTTCCAACTTAATAAAGTGATACTTATCCAATTATTTAAACATTTCCCAATTTCAATGAAAGCATAGACTTGAAATCTTCTATGTACTATGCAAGTATATCCAACTTGTTGATCGTAAATAATCAAGTTCGAGATAACCCAGATCCTGTATTGCTCTCATCTGCGTATCCCTAGCTCACTGTTATTTACTATCCTATTGCAAGCAATTATTTTGACTCACCAAACATCAGAACAGAAATAAGCCAGGCAGGTGTGATGCCTGGGCCTGCTGAAAGATGCGACACCTAGGAACCCATCTTTGAATCCAAATCTCACAGTGAACACTCAAGAATGTGCTGGGATTACCTGCTCCCATTACTTGCTCCTGGTAAAAGCTGGCAGACATATATCCAAAGTTCCTGGATGAAGGGTGTCATCAGCCTTGTAAGGACCCAAGAATCCATATTTCCTTCTGGAAATATGTTGTGTTGACTGCCGAGTACCTTTTACTATTGCTGAAACTTCACCCTCTCAAACCGTCAGATGACTATGTCAGTATAGTAGCACTGTCCTGATATGACAACCGTACTACAGGCAACTATCCCCAATATTAATTACTTCAAATCAGCCTTCTCTTAGAAAGTATTACCCACTTTGGTGCTTTCCCTAGAATATGTGAAACTCAAACCGAGGCAACCTCATTGCCAATAAAATATCTAGACCACATGGGCTTATTTGTGAAGAAGGTAGAAATAGCTTAACATGCCATCATTATGAATGTTCCATGAGCCTACAAGTTCACTTGGAACACATACATTATCTTTCTAGTACTTTCTCTGTAGGATTATTTAGAAATGGAATTTGGAATAAAATCAACATTTCCGGATCACCTATTGTGTGCCATGAATTGTGCTATCTACTTTATAAATCTTTCATTTAAGCCTAACAGCCCTTCAAGATATTTTAATTATTAATGTCTTTTCACAAATGAAGAAACCAAGACTCAGGGATGGTAAGTGATTTAACTCCAAAGTCTTAAAGTTACATGGCACAGCCAAAAAGTGAACCCAAATCAGTACAAAAATCTTTATGACCAGCTTCTTACCACTCTATTTGCTTTCCAAAGGAGTTGTACTAACCTGTAATGATACTAGAAACAAGGGTACTTCTACTTCAATTTATTTTTGTGAGAAAACTGATGGCTTTAATGCACAGCAGTGATTACCATGCCTGGAAACAAATTACTGTATTAAAACCAATGTCCATTTTCATATATCCTAATCTATCAATCAATATCAAATCTCTTTACTACTAGTTAGACCTTATGTAATCTGAGGAAGAGCAGAAAATGTTTTGTTCAACCTCTATAACATCTTCATATATTTGGAATATATAAGATGCTCTCCACATTTTAAAATCTATGAATAGTGATCTTTCTACAAATTTTCCTAGATAGATTTATGTTAGTCTATTTGGAAGTAATGAACCTTTGAATTTTATTATAAAACGAAGAATTCCAAAACATGTAGGCTTCAATTTACTGACAGCACTGTAACAATGGATTAAAGACTAAAGTAGAAAACATTCTTTGTAAATTATATGTATTATATAGCCACATTAATATGAGGAAATGAGTAAATGGTAAAAGCTATCACTTTTAGAGTACTTACTATGTGCCAACTACTTTATAGTACATGTGGTTTCATTTTGTACTTTACAAAAGCTTGCATGATTATTAACTCCATTTTACAAGCAAAGAAACTATGATAAGAAAAGTTCACATAACCTGCTCAAAGTAATATAGCTAGAAAGTGATAGAGCTAGAATTCAAAGCCAGGTCTGTCCAAATCCAAAATATATGCTCCTTATTGCCAACATTTACTGCCTCCTTGTTCTTATCTGGTAAACATATCCTTGTCCACAACTCTAAAACCAGTATAGAAACACATGCTTATTTAAACCTATTATTAATTACATCCATTAATTTGTCATAGTTTCTTTGTTGCCTGTCACCCTAAAATCAGCCCTAGCTGGTTTGGCTCAGTGGATAGTGTCGGCCTGTGGACTGAAGGGTCCCAGTTAGATTCCAGTCAAGGGCACATGCCCTGGTTGTGAGCTTGATCCCCAGTAGGGGGCTTGCAGGAGACAGCCAATCAATGATTTTCTCTCATCATTGATGTTTCTCTCTCTCCCCCCCTCTCCCTTCCTCTCTGAAATCAATAAAAAAAATATTAAAATAAATTAATAAATAAAGTAAAATCATTAAAAGTGCCTAAAAAATTACCATTAGAAAAATTTGAGTAAATTTTCATAAAATCTTGAGTGGTCAAGAACAGATAATTCAGGTAACAAAAAATTTTTGTTGCTTCTGAGTTGTTATTAAAAAATACACAAAACTGATGTAAACATGGTAAGCCAAAAAATCATTTTAAGCATTTAAAAAAAATTGAAATACTGTAAACCACTAGCCTAAAGACTGAACAAAAGAACTCTTTTTGCAAAATCACATTACCATCAATACTTAATGAATGAATTATGGATATTATTATATTCTGTCTTTATCTAAAGTTTTATTATCAGCCAAACAACAGAAAAAATGTAATCATAACTTGGGCAATTTTAAACTCCTAAATGGCTATTATCTTCCATGTTTCAGTGTTTCAAATTTCTTTATAAAGTATGTCTAAAAAAATAAGTAACATTCCCCAAAAATCAATTCTTCAAATATTAGAGTTTGAAGAACCTAAATCTAGAACTTTTTAATGTACAAGATGTAGTTTAAAATAACATATTCTTTCCCTTTTGTTTATCAGACACATTCATTAGAGAAGTTAACAGGGCAAAATAAGAATCATTTTCTAAGATATGTCAAAGAATAGATTAAGTCTTACCTCCATTGCTAAAGCTGCTGTCTGTTGGTCATAATGATTCAGAAGATTAGGCATGAAGGTAGTATTGTAAGGCAAATCTTGGCACATCCTCAAGGTAATAGGTTCACAAGAAAACAAACTGTGCCCACCTATATGCCCCACAAACATAGTCAAGGGCCAAAGATAGAAGACGATCCAACTCATAGCCATCCTTCTTGGATCTGAATGAGATTTGGACGATCAGGCCTATGGTATGTATTTTAGATCTTTGTACACCTGCAGGTCTCAGCTTGAAGAAGTACTCTTCTATATTTTACTATTAAGTTCTTCAAACAGTTAAATACTCTTTGCACTGTCAGAGGTTTGTTAGCTTGATCTCACAAAAGGCATTTGTTTTTGGTTTCACAATACAGGAAAATGACATCATCTTGTCTCTTCTTTTCATTTTATTACATAGGGCACATTTGGCCAACATATCAAGTTGATCAACCACATTCCCAAACAACAGATTCCATCTTAGAAGAGCTATTTCTTCCTTTGATTGAAATACCTGAAAAGTATTTTTTTTTAAATGGTAGAAATTAGTCATTTCCTCTAAAAGCCTTTGATAAGCTTAATGTTGTAGGATTGAAAATCACTATACAGAAACAGTTGTATTTTTTATACTATAACAATAAACTATCAGAAAAAGAAGTAAGCAACATTTGATGAGAGATATCATACTAACCTAATAGATAAAATACATAGGTATTTCATAAAGATATAGTTTTTCTACTTTATCATTTACGCTATAGATACACTAAAACAATCTTTAAATAATACGTAAAATATAAAATATTAAATGTCAACTGTAATTGGAAAAAAGTATTTAAAGGTAAAATTTCTTCCCTTTTAATTGTTTATATAACATATGGTCTAATTTGTCTATATTGATAGCAATTTTCATTTACCACAAGCTGTAACTAACTCATTTTGAACAAATTTCATGCTATTGTCCTAAATTTTATTTAAATAGCTGTCATACTTATAATCTAAGCTACTGAATTTAAAATTTATTGTATGTGTTTTAATCATTAATAGTGTATTTTTACATTAATTGATTTGGCAGAAGGTATCCAAAGAGATGAAATATAGCCCTAGCTGACTTGGCTCAGTGGATAGACTGTCAGCCTGCGGATCAAAGGATCCCGGGTTCCATTTCTTATCAAAGGCACGTACCTTTTGGTTGCAGGCTCCTCCTTGGCCCCGGGCCTTGATCGGGGTATGCGTAGGAGCCAACCAATAGATGTGTTTCTCTCACATTGATGTTTGTCTCTGTCTTTCCCTCTCTCTGAAAAATCAACGGAAAAATATCCTTGGGTGAGGATTAACAACAACAACAACCAAAAAACACAAACAAAAAAATAAAGAGATGAAATATAAATAAAACAAAAATATATGGATTCAGCCCTGGCCAGGTGGCTCAGTTGGTAGAAGCATCCTCCTGTACAACAAAAGGCTGCAGGTTTGATTCTCACATACCTAGGTTTCGGGTTCAATTCCAAGTCGGGGTGTGTATGGGAGGCAACCAATCCATGTTTCTCTCTCACATCAATGTTTCTCTCTCCCTTCCTCCCTAAGAATCAATAAAAAAAAATCTTTGGGTTAGGACTAAAAGAAAAGATAATGGATTCAAGCTTCTTAGTAGTTGTGTGAATGGGAAACATAGCACAACTTCTCTGAACTCAGAATATTTTTTCCTGAAAATACCACCTCTCTAATAAAGATTATATAGATAACCCATGGACACAGACAATAGGGTGGTGAAGGCCTTGGGGGTGGGGGGAGGCCAAGGGGAGGAGGGTTAGAAGAGGCCAAGAAAAAGAGGACATATGTAACACTTTCAACAATAAAGATTTTTAAAAAAAGAGATAAGGTATGTAAAAGTATTCTATAAATGATAAAGCAGCATCAAAGATTAGTTTTTTTTAACCCATTGTACACCATAAGCGTCTACAGATGCAAGAGGTGGACTTTCCCACACTCCACTCGCGTCTATAAAAAAAAAAAAATGTTTTCCCTAAGTGGCAGCCCTGACCAACTTTAAAATCATTTCTCGTGAGAATTTTCAGCTGAAAATATTCAAGAACACCCGAATTATAATATATTTATTTTTATAATATTCACTGCAAATTGATTTTTTAAATTAAATTCAAAATATTGTGGCGTTTGGGGATGGTTTCCGTTATGGACATGTGGCAGTTAACTGAATTACAATATAGGCTACCTTTTCAACCAATACTGAATTGGCAAATAGAAGGCTCTAAAAGTAATATCAGGAAATTTTCCCAACATTGCATATCTTTTCAGATAGCACAAAAATTTAGTGCCACACACAGATGCAGAAATATTTGATCACGAAATCTTTTATCACACAGCCAAGCTGCAGAGAATAGAAATTATCCTTAGAAAGTCACAGCAGGAATAGGAATAATTCCCAGTTAATTTTCACTAAGTTTTAGAATCTTTGACTTGCCTCTACTTTTCTATTGGCAAAAATACTTATTTCATTTGGGGATGAGAAGGTGTAGGTGGATTGGAAGGCAGGTTTGGTAGGAAAAAAGCATATTCTAAGTTATAATACTTTCATTTGGTTTAGTGACGATTTTAAATTTGCTTTCATTGCATTTTGTTTCATATACATGGGACATTTCTGTGTTTGTTGTAGAAAGCCTAGTTTGGGAAAACATGAAAAGATCAGGTTCAGAAATTCTCAGAGACCAAAGTTAATTAAACAACTTAAATACTAGGGCTCATGACAGCTTAAGACCTTGAGACCTAGAACTGGTTTGGTTTAAGCAGGGCATGAAACTGTCCTTTGTGCACTATCAGTTCTTGGCTCCTCTGCATCCCAATCTTTAGTTACTAGGCAGAAAAAACTACCTGTATTTGGAAAAAGTAAAGGAATGGCCAAATCTTTGCACTTTCTCCCTCTAGTATATGATCATGAGTAGTGGAAGAAAAAGGGAAAGTGTGTGGCCTCTTTAGAGTTAGTAGCACCAAAGTTATGAGCACTCCCTGCCCCAAACGCCTAATCTCTCTATATCAAAATCTCTAAATCAGAAATCTTTGTAAAAGCTTCTTGGCCTGCCATATTTTTTTTCCTCCTTCAAGCTGGCCCCAGAAATGTGAAGTCTGGCTATAGGAAACTGATATTAAACAGCCATTTATATTTAAGCTTAATGACCATGCAACACAGTAATAATTATGCATATCATTAAATATGTGTCAAATAACTGCTGAAAGCTTTATTTGGTTACAGCATTAAAACATCCATATAAGATCAGTCTTTGTAGTTTGTTGCTTATATAGCATGTTCATCTGCTTGCAACTAAAAAAAATTTAAAAGGAACATTGCTCCATATTAAATATGCATATAATAATCTGAATTTCAAATATTTCACTGGATAAATCTATTTTTTCAAGAAGTGATGGGTTTCAAATTTATGGCTCAAAGACTACCATATAAAACTTGAGGAAAAGCCTGGCTAGTGTGGCTTAATGGTTGAGCATCGATCCATGAACGAAGAGATCCCTGGCTTGATTCCCGGTCAAGGCACATGCCTGGGTTACAGGCTTGATCCCCAGTAGGGGGCATGCAGGAGGCAGATGATTGATGTTTTTCTCTCTATCTCTCTCTAAAAATTAATAAAAACGTACTTAAAAAAAAAACTTGAGGAAGAAACTGGGCAATACCTCATTGGATCTTTAAAACTAGATGAAACATTCCCTTAACACTTTTTCCTACTCTATTTTACCTGATTTCTTATTAATTATTCCTTTTGCCTCATTTGGCAGCAAAGCTTCCCACCATCTTATAAGCTTCCTTTATATCCTACGACATCCACATTACCACATATCAAAACTTTTGTAAAATCTATTATGTTAGGGTGGGCTAGGAAAATAATCCTATATAATAAAAGTCTAATATGCAAATCGACCGAACAGGGGAACGACGGGGGTGTGGGGTGGCGAGCAGGCGGTGCCAGGCCAGCCAAGGCAGGTGCCAGCGGGCAGAGGGAGGGGACAGTGACAGGCAGTGCCGGAGCTGCCCCCTGGTGGTCAGTGTGCTCCCATAGGGGGAGCACTGTTCAGCCACAAGCCAAGCTTAAGGCTGGTGCACAGTGGCAGTGGTGGGAGCCTATCCTGCCTCCACAGCAGCCCTAAGGATGTCCGACTGTGGCTTAGGCCTGCTCCCTGCAGGGAGAGGGCCTAAGCCACAGTCAGACATCCCCCGAGGGCTCCCAGACTGCGAGAGGGCGCAGGCCGAGCTGAGGGACGCACCCCCCCCCGCCCGAGTGCACAAATTTTCGTGCACTGAGCCTCTAGTCTTAATATAACAAGATCGTAGTTTATGATTATTAAAATAAATAAAAAGTTGAATGCAGTGAGACAAAAAAAATAATAATAGTAAAAATATTTAAAAATTGCCTGGCCAGTGTTGCTCAGTGGTTGAGCGTCAACCCATGAACCAAGAGTTGATTCCCAGTCAGGGCACATGCCTGGGTTGCGGGCTCGATCTCCAGTAAAGGGTATGTAGGAGGCAGCTGATCGATGATCCTCTCTCATCAATATTTCTATCTCTCTATCTCTCTCCCTTCCTCTGTCTCTAAAAAAATCAATATAAACATGTTTTTAAAAAATTTACATGCCCCTCCAAGTCAGAGATTCTCTAATTTTAATGTGTAGCAGATTCATGGATTGCCCCCACAGGTCTAAGAAATCTGAATTTCTGTAGAATGACATACATGTGTGGGTGGCAAAAGTCATTTTTTCCAAAGGTAGGGTCATCCATAGAAAAGCCCTAAGTTGAAGTTCTATACATGCAGGCCACAGAGAAGATTCTGGACCCAAAGAGATACTAACAAAATACAGCAACCCATTAAATAAAGGTTAACAGTTGTTTTGGCATTCTTGATATTTTTTACTAAAAGGAATCTGCAGGCCTTGCGGTGTGACTCAGTGGTTGAGCATCAACCTATGAACCAGTAGGTAATGGTTCACTCCCAGTCAAGGCACATGCCCAAGTTGAGGGCTCAATCCCCCAATAGGGGGGCATGCATAAAGCAGCCGAACTATGATTCTCTCTCATCATTGAATTTTCTCTCTCTTTCCCTCTCCCTCTCCCATCCTCTCTCTGAAATCAATAAAAACATATTTCTAAGAAAGGAATCTGCAGAATTTCAGCTTAATAAAGGGACCTGCTGGGTTAACATAACTGAAGTGAACAGCTTCAGGGGCCAGAGAACAGCAAAAAGTGAGTGATATGGCAAGAATTTATTCATGCCATACCTATGGGAAACAAGCACATTCACTTTTCCATAGAGCAATACAAGATATTTAAAAAACTAATTTCTGATTAAGTTACTTGATTATTTTTCCATCAGAAAACAAAACCAACTAGAAACATTTAAACCTACATTTAATTTTTATGAATGTATAACACTGGGAATCTGATATTCCCAATTACTAGTTTCCTTTTGATGATAAAAAGTAAAAACCCTTAAAATAAGTTGAGTATCTGTCCTAAAGGACAGCCATAAAGGGGAAGGTGATACAATCTTAGAAAGCTGTCTTCCCAAGCTGGCTGCAAAGCGGACCAAAAGAACACAAGGTGGCAACTGTGAAGAGGAAAGCAGGCTGAATCCCCAGAAGAAACAATGACAAAAGTGGGCCCTGAGGGCTTGTCAAGAAGGTCCTGAAACAAAAGATTATGTTCAGCAATTCGATTCCAATTTACACTCTCAGTACAGAAAGTGATCCCTTTCATCATTCTCAGTTTAGATTTAATTTTCTTGACACCCCTTAAATGTAGACAACATTTTGCATTTCCAATTCAGAAAGGCCATCAAAAGGTTGCCTCACACACAGTGGCTCTACAGTAGAAACAGGAGGAATATTCTTTGTCTTCTTTCAGAGGAGTTTTCTAAGAATGCATTGCAAGAATTAACAATGACTACCTCTGAGTTTCTTCTCTCAAGGACATTGTCTTGTTAGAGACAAAATATACTCTTAGAGCATACTCACTGCTCTAAGTGCTACAGTCCTTTTCCTAAAACCCATGTGACCCATATGGCCTTTGGCCTTTTGTTTTCCACGTCCTATTCTTTAAAAAATAAATTCATTCTCAAAATTTGCCTCCTTGTTGCTAAAAGTTTATATAACTTCATATTTAACTCATAGAGCTTACATCCCTATTAATCTTAGGATATCTCTTTTCTGATCTTTCTCACTTTATCTAATTTTTTAATGTCCATTGTGTCATCTACTGATAAAACAAATAGACTAA